AAAAAATCCTCCCTATAAGTATAGATTTACGTAATGTTAATTTAAAAACGTTTAAAAACGTAAAAAGTGAATAAATAGAAATCACTTTCATGATTTATGTAAAGAAAATTAAAAATATAATTAATGTATTATAATTAAACTAAGTAATATAAAATTATGTTAAAATTATTGAACGATTAATTTAATAAAAAAAATCGCTATAATTGAGAATTTAAAGCTCATCCAAAACTTATTTGTTTAAAATAAATGAAACATAAATTAAATTTAAAGAATAAAGAGCAAACGTTTTAAAGTGTAAAAAATGACAACAATGTTTTATCAATAAATTTAATGATAACAACATGCTATCTAGCCTACATATCAAATGAATCTTTAAAACATCATCTAAATTTAAAACCTTATAGAAACTACCAACAGGTTTATCATTAAACCTCTTACTTTAATAATAATGCATATGAACAATTCTCAATCTCCAAATTGGATGATGATACTGCTTAATTACTTTTTATATCAATAAATATTAAAATTTTCTTGCATCAATTTGAAGACATTGATATCAACCTAATACACAGAAGTACTCCATATTATCATCATAACTACCTCAGTCCATATCTATGGTGATATTTTTCTCAATAATTTGATGCATTTTTCCTATTGTGTCCAGAAAAAAACTTTCACAGATGACAGATCTGGAATCAGCATTAGGCCCTGCAATTCTTCACTCTTCATTTTCTGTCAGTGAGGAATACAATGAATTTGTTAACACTCCAGCCCATGTTTCAACTACACGACAAACAAGGCCCATGATTACTGTACCAGTCCCACGTTGCAACACCAACAGTAACAAATAAGCACCCCTAATCTCACCCGTCCCTAAAAGAAACCCCAAAACGACAGCACAAACTTTCACCGTTGTCCTCCACGGCCCCACCTCTGCATCACGCCGTGACTCACCGCCCGGTAACCTCTGAAAAAAAAATCAATTTTGCTCCTTCCCGCGCAAACACACCGACCTTTTGATGGCGCCGCCTAATTTGAACCCCTGAAAATAACGCGGCGAAATGTGGCCCACAGGATCCACATCATCGTCCACTCCAAAACCAACACGTGGGAGGTTCCACTGTCACCACTTAGCTGTCACCTACTCACACCGCTCGTTAAACCCGCTTCCCGTTACACCCGTCCCACACGATCCCACCCTCTCCCCTTCCATCATTTTTTTCAAATTTTCAAAAATTTAAAATTAAAATAATTATTGCATTAATTTGCTCTTATTTTTCCTCCACTTATATATACCCTGGTCCTGGAAAAAACGCTTTCACTGCTCCAAAGTTTGAAAGGCCGCACTTTTTTGGTGAAAAAAATTGTGGGGTTTTGTATTCTGAAAGAAGGGGCAAAAGGGTGTCTGAAGATAGTGTTGGGTTGTCATGGAGTGGGAAGACGAGTGCAGAACGCCGAGGTTGGTGCAGAATCAGATTCCTGCGATTTTCATCTGCCCGCCGCCGCCCCCAAGAAAGAAGCCGGTGGCCGGAAAGAGACGAACGCCGCCGAAGGAGGGGTACTTCCACCCACCTGATCTTGATTCCTTGTTTTCAGTTCCAGCCAGGAAAGAAGCATGTGTTTAACAAAGTAGTAGCAACTTTTCCATATTTTTGAGGAGTATCTGAATTTGGTTTGTTACTTTTAGAAGTAAAGAAGAGTATTTAATTAACTATTTATTAGTTTGATAATATATATATAAAGAATAATTATTTGTAGTGTTATTTTGTGGGCATTCCTTTTTTGGTATGTCCTAGGTGTTAGGTGATGATGAGTAATGGAACGATGATATATATATATATATATATATATATTATATGCTTTGGGTTGATGCGAACTCTTCTACAATTTGTAAGATGATGTATTTATTTGTTCCCTTTTACATTTTAATTTTTTCAATTTCCTTCATAGGTTTTCGCTCCTATTGGTTACTATCTAGCTTCATTTTCTGACATTTTCTGTTGTTCAAGATTTGGTCATTTATCTCCCCGTTTTGCATTTTGCCTCTTATTGTAGCTTCTGCATTCATGTGCTACACTGCTTTAGTAGTATGTCAGAATTCTACTTTTTTTCTATTATTCACTTCTCTCGCTGAAAACTACATTTCTTTTGAAATTGAGTTAAGTAATTCTGAATAACTGGTGCTAAGGTTGCTCTCTGGCTACATGTCTCCATGAATTTGATCAAATTAATCACTAAAGAGAACTTATACGGAAATGAAAATAGAAATTTTTTAATTTGAGGTATGTGGAAGTGTTGGCTTGATGCGATTTTGACTTGATTTCACTTGATTTGACTTTGATTTCGTCCATAATATTTTATCAATAAAATTATACTTGTGCTGCTGACCCAAGTCTTTCATACTTTCACGACTTGACTTGGTCTTCATAACTTCTTTTTATGACTCACCTACTCCAACTTTTGTACGTTTGATCAAGAACCTTGAACAATTTTTTATCGGCAAAGAACCTTAAACATTTAGCAGTGAATTAGAAGAAACAGAAAGAAAAGAGTGACACAGAAAAATGGTTAATTATTTACACTATGTCAATGCCTCACCACGTACAATATCTCTTTGATTCACACTGTTGATCGTCCACCTCAAAATAGGAGAGAATGAATAAAAGATACTATTTTTCCCATATTTATATTGTTTCAGTTTCTTAAACACTTGGTTTTGGGGGGTAATTACTTAACATATTTTAGATGAAAATTAATTGTCAAGTACTATGGCATTACTTTAGAAAATAATTTTAAAGTCACAAGTGAGATAAGTTATAACTATTTTAAACAAACTTAAGATAGGTAATCATGTGTCTTTCCTATTAAACCAATGTTTCAATATTTTAGTTCTTCCAAGGTGGTCACCACCATAGATGTTAGGGTGCTATCTACAAGGATTTCGATAATGAATTAGATCAAAGTTAGAGCTTAAGTTAATTAGGGTGGGTGTTTTATTTGTTTCTTTGGTATGTTATGAAAGTGAAGCTTATAAATACGATAAAGGACAAAGTATAATTTAGCGTAAGAGAATTGAATTTGCTTTTTCTTATTAATATTGGCTCTATTTCTAAGATAAAAGAACCAAAAATATGATTCTATTTTATATTTTTCCACATGGTAGCAACCTATGTTTCATTGTTGGGGTCTTTGATTTCTGTTCTCACTTCCGCAACACTGCAACTGTCTATTGCATGTTACGACAACCTTAATTGCTGCACATGTGTTGTTTACTGAGGCAACATTAATTGTTGCACGAGTTTGGTTTTTTTTTTTGTTGCATCTTATTGATTTTGGGTGTTTCACCCATCACAATATCTGAAGTAGAAATATAAATCACGATGTAGCAAGACGAATCCAACTTGGTTTAGAAAACTATATAAATGTAAGCTCCTCATCGCTCCTAATCGATATATCTTTTCATCTTTTAGCTTTTGGTCCATATATATCGTCCAAAAAAATTAATCATGGGATGAAGAACACTCAATGAAACCTTGTTATAGGATTACAAGAATCAATGACACTTGCATGTTCTTGAAGATAGCCAAGGGCATTTAGGAATTCATAAGTCGTACATATTCTTAGGCAAATGATGTTACAAAGTTTTCGAGACAACAGTGAAAATTGTTATAAATTGTCTTATAGGATATTACAAGATATGATAATCCATATAATTATAAAAATTCTAATTAAATAAGAAAATAAATCAAAATGTAGGATAAAAATAAATATTAAGAAATAGTCTAATATATATTCTTTTAATTATATATGTTAACAATCTTGTGAAATTTATAGGATAAGAAAAGGTTAGATTATTAATCTGTATTTGATATGAAGAATAATAAAAATTCAATTACATCAAATTAAACATATATAATTTAGTTAAAAGTTATAACTGATATTTAAAATACAATCTGATTGTTATTTGACTCAAACAAAAACTTCTATATTCAAAGAAGTGATTTGTGCAACAAACCTTCAAATTATAAAGGTCAAAGAAAAGATACTAGGCAGAATCTATGGTACATTTATACAAATAAACCAAGGAATGCAAAAGAAAATTATTGGAAGTTGATTGGAAAACCACTAAGCAAGGAGTGTTGATATTGTTGGGAAATCAAAGTAGCTAACCAAAAGTGGAAACGTATCCCTTGTATGTGACTTTAAACGAGTCTAAAATAAAATAATAAAGAAAAGAATAAAACACAATAATTTTAATATGGAAAATCCCTTCCATAAATAAATAAAATCACATGATCAAACAATAACATATAATCACTATAAAAATAAAAATAGAATTACATATATCTCTATTAATACAAGAGTATAAGGCTCATTCGTCTTTGTTTGAGTGGTATACAACAATCACATGATTTCACCATTTGATTCATGTAGACGAAGTTAGCCAAGAGTGAGGGTTGAGAGGGATTTCTTGCGATCATGGTTGGTAGTGTGAAACAAGAACTACGTAAGACTAGACCACACAGGATTCACCTTGTCACATGATGCACTAGTAAAAAATAGGTTTTTTAACTCGCCTAATAGGCTTTGGTTAAAGGAAAACCGAAACATATACAAAAGCGGTGGCAAACTTGTAATTAGACGAACTTATATACGCCGGTTCTAAAATAAACTGGTGTTGAAATAGGTTTATGCCTCGGTTAAAACAGGACCGAGGCCTAATACTATGTATTTTGGCCTGACACGCTTCGGTTCTAAAAAGAAGTGGTGTTGAAATGGGTTTATGCTTCGGTTAAAACAGGACCGAGGCCTAAAATTTCACTAGCTTTTTTACCTGACCAGTCCTGACCTACACTGCTGCTCTCAAAACCTACCTTTCTCTCAAACTCTACCTTTCTCTCAAACTCTACCTTTCTCTCAAACCCTACCTTTCTCTCAAACCCTGCTCACTTCTTCTCCCAGTCTCAAAACCTACCTTTCCCACAACTAAACCACACCGGTTACCATTGCCAACCCCAAATCTGGTGGCGGAACTTGGAGAGGCAGACCCTGCAGTCGGCGGTGGCGGAGGAAGAGCGGCGCGTGACGAATAGGGGGGGACGAACGACGCGACAGAGGAGGAGGAGAAACGGCGGAGGAAGAGTCGATTGAGGTGGCGGGGGAGGAAGCGAACGGCGCGGGGACGAACGACGCGACAGAGGAGGAGGACAAACGACAGAGGAAGCATCGATTGAGGTGGCGGGGGAGGAAGCGGATGACGGGGACGAACGGCGCGACAGAGGAGGAGGAGAAACGGCGGAGGCATCGTCATTGAGGGCCGGAGGAGGTAGCGAGAACGCGACGAGGCCGCAGCGAGACCGTAGTGAGGCTGCGGCGAGGTCGCGGTGAGGTGGTGGCGAGTAGCGGCAAGGGCGTCCTACAGCGGTGGCAGCGGTGGCATTGGCGAGGCAAGAAGAGGTGGCGGCGAGGTGGTGGCGAAGTCGCGGTCCTGCAGCGGTGGCGTTTCTGCATTGCAGCGGTGGCGTTTCTACAGCGTTTCTCAGAGTTGATTCTCAACGTTTCTGCATTGCAGCAGTTCTCAGAGTTGATTCTTACAAAAGCTGTGTTATTTTTTTTCTTTGTTATTTTGGGAGTGATTTTGTTAAGGCTGAACTGTGAAAGGGATTGAATCACATTGGACCACCCTTCTTGTTGATATTCTGAGATTTGGTTTTGGCGTAATACTATGTGTTTTGGCCTGACACCCTTCTTTTTGATATTCTTGTTGAAAGGAAAAATAACCCTTTTGCTTTTGTGCAACCATTGTTGATATTCTTGTTGAAAGGAAAAATAACCCTTTTGCTTCTGTGCAACCAAAATAATCCAAATGCGTACAAAAAAAATAACACGCAATTGCCTCGGTTATCAAGAACCGAGGCATAATCCTCTCTCGTATTAACCCGGTTCAGAACCGAGGCATAAACCCTGCTTTTTTTTACCTCGTCCTTATATGCCTCGGTTGCAAAACCGATGCCTATAAACAAATTTAACCGATGCCATTTCTTCTTAATGTACTAGTGATGGGAACGTAGTTCCAAAGAATGAGTAGAGCTACAATTGAGACCGTAATCTATTGTAGTCATGTGACATGTGTAGGAACATCTAAGTCTATTTATTACACTTGTACCATCTAGAAGTAAATCCATAAATCATGAATCTTTATATTATATAATGTTCCTTCATTGTAGAAAAGCATAAGTGTTGATGTGTCTTCATATTAGTATGAATGACTTGATGCGTGATGCGATAATAATTGTGTTATGATTAACTAACCTTCTTCTTTATGAGTTTTTTGGCTTTGCCCTCTATGAATGCGTATTGCATGAGAGTAGTTGAGATGTAGAGGCTGGTATACAAATGGGAAGGGATTGGACGTTCCTCGAGATAAAAAAAATTGTTATTTTCTTTATATCTGTTAAGACTCAATCTGATGTACTTTTGAACCTCTTAAACCTACGTATTTTGGTGATGTGCTAATTAAAATTGATAAACCTCATTCATAGAGGATTTAATGGATGATATTACTTTGGTGGAACTCTTCTTTTATTCCTTAAGGATTTTATGTAAGCAAAACAAATTTTTGCATGATTTAGCCTTGAGAATAATGTCTAAGTTTCCTTTAGACGATCTCAAGCTCACTAGATGATATTTGGAAGTAGACGACCCAATTGGTTAGGCAATCTAGTTGGTTAGATGACCCTTATGTTAGACGACCTTTTTGTTAGACGACCCTTTGTTAGACGACTATTAGCCTATTAGATGACCTTTACATGCATTAGACATCTACCAACCAAGTCGCATAGATTGGTTCCTCTTTTATAAACATAGTTTTTACTGAGAATCCAAGTGTGAGTTTAAGTCTCACATTGGGCAAAAATGAGAAAGTGGAACACCATAATAGGTGAAAAACTATTAACTCATTGCCTTCAGGTTTGGGATAGAGAGTGGTATCAATCCCTTATGTGGTTAGACTCAGGTCTCATTGGTGTTGTGTCTCCCCAGTGAACCCCCTCGCTTGATAAACCTAATAAGTGGTATTAGAGTTGATGGTTAATTTTGGTGACCAACTCAACGAGTATAGTGGTCCTTGTATCGAAAGTCTTCCTGGCAAGGATTCTAGGTAAGTGTGTTCTGTTAAGATGAACGACAGTAGGAGAAGGGGATCTCGTGGTTGGGAATGCTTCCCCTAGAGGGGAAGTGTACCAATGTGAAAGGGACTCACCCTTGATGGGGAGATTTGTTGGAAATTCAAGTGTATTGAGTTTTGGATGTATCAAACAAATATTTAAATGCTCGAACTTATAAGTGATTCTAAATGATAGTTTCTTTTAGGCATAATACCCAATTTTGTCCCCACTTTGGTTCGGAAATCTCAAGTTAGTCCCTTTATAGAAAAGTGAGTTGAATGGATCCTTACTTGTAATTAATTGACTCTAACGAGTCCCTTCCGTTAAATAGAAGGAAACGGAGTTAGTAGAGTGATGACGTGGCAGTTTTCTCTAAGCCCCTCCAACAAGTAAGCACCCAACCTCTGAATCGGATCTCCAAAGACTGATACCATTTTCCCCAATACATTGTTCTCCGTAAAGAAATTCTTCTCCGCCGCCCTCGTCTTCTACCTTGCCATCTTCACCAACACCAACCTCCATTACTGTGCCGACGTCCACACCTTCATCGTCTGAATTATTCTTCACCATCACCTTCAACGTGATGAATGGGACTGAAACCTCTATGTATCTTTATATTTCGTGGTATTTTTTCTACAATAAATCTGTGAAATTGTGTTGTCTTGGGAAAGATTAATTATGAATCTACCAGGATTCATATGGTTGTCTCTGTCCACCGGAAAGGACATTAGTATAAAAGATTGATGGCAAGGAATACAGAGGTGGCGCGCCCTTTACTAAACGGACTGCTCCAGCATCAGATATCTGTGTTCAATTTTCCTTGAAGATCATTCTTTATTATTTATATTATTTAAATCTTCATTACATATATACATTACGTGATAAACATTATGATGACCAAGGTGATACTGTAATGATTAAGAATCGTAATGGATATAAAACCTCTGAATCGGATCTCCAGATGATACACTGGCATAGGAAGGAGAATCATCACACTCCGTGAAACCGGTAGTCGGTGCAGGGCATGATTGCTGAAAAAAAATGTTATATACTCAGAAAAAAAATGAATGAGTAAAAAGAGAGGGGAAAATGTTCGGTGGTGATGCTGGAGATGAAAGAACCCTTCTTAGAAGAGGGAAAGAAAAAAAAGGGAGTGGTGGCGTCGGTGGAGAAGCAAGCTCCGGCGAGGGCAGCGGTGAATCTGGGCCGCGAGCGGAGAGAGAAGAAGCGTCGCAGCCATCTGGGTCCTGGTGACGTGCGGCGGCGTGGGATCCGTCCGCTGTGGCTGAATCGAGGCGCGGCAAGGATGGATTCGGAGCAGATCTGGGGCGTACGTGAAAAGCGAGGTCCTCCCTCGCACGCGAGAATGAGGGGCTGGAGCGGCGTCCGACGATGGCCGTCCGTGGGTGTCGGAGATGGCATCGATGCCGGTTGGAATGCGGTGGCCATTTTTGGTTGGGAGGCCAGCGAACGGAGAAGAAAGAGACTCTGGGTCTCATCCCGTTGGATGGCGCGGAGAGAAGAGGAGAACCTGAAGCTTTCTGAACCACGTAAGCACGCAAACAATTGCGTATTGACACCTCACCAAAGACAACTGCCACATCATCAGTCCACTAACTCCGTTTCCTTCTATTTAACGGAAGGGACTCATTAGAGTCAATTAATTACAAGTAAGGATCCATTCAACTCACTTTTCTATAAAGGGACTAATTTGAGATTTCCGAACCAAAGTGGGGACAAAATTGGGTATTATGCCTTTCTTTTAATGTGTTATTCAGAACGTATACTACAACGTTTGTAAGAACTTCCTCAATTGAATAAGAATCGTTTAATGTGGAGGTTTCTAGTACGTATAAATAAAAATGTAGCTATAGGTTTTATAAGAAAAGTGTTCAGTCAAAAGGTAAACAATAATTGCACAAATATTTTTATACTGGTTTACTCTAATTGAGCTACGTCTAGTATCCTTCGTGGAGGGTTTCATTATAATCTTCAACAAGATCACAACTGAGTATTCGCATCACTCTTGGTCTTCTCAATTAGCGAATTACCTCCGTTATCCTAAACTATATGAGTATTTGCACAACTCCTGGTCTTCTCAGTCAGCGAATAACCTCTTGTTACCCTAGACTGGATAATTATTCACACTACTCCTAGTCTTCTCAGTTAGCGAATAACCTCTTGTTACCCTAGACTGAATGAGTATTCGCACCACTCCTAGTACTAAACAACCTTGCCTAGATTTCCTTAACTCCACAAAGTTCAACAAGTTTTTTAATTCTCTTCAGAATTGCAATCAACGATTGCTTACAAGTCGTTTAGACTATTATTCTCATAGAGATTATGTGAGTACAATACAATGTAGTCTAAACACTCGTATGTGTTTCTCTATTTCCTCTTTCTCTCTTTCTTACAACAATATACAAATATTACAATGAAGCTCGAGGGTATTGCTTGAATTCTTTTCTTTTCTTCTGCTCAGATGTTTTCTTTTCTTGAGCTTTTATGTGCTTTTCTTTAGAATGTTTTTCTTCGGATGAATATTTTTTCTGTATGTTATCCTCTTGATTCTTTATCTGAATGATCTTCTATTTAGAGGCTCTTGGAGAATTGTTTGTTAGACTAAGCTCTTGACCTTGATTCTTGTGTCATCTCTTTCTTCGTCGATAGTACCTGTTGGTTAAAGTCAACTTGTCAAAGCAGACTTGCTTTTTCAATACTTTTCTTGAAGTATTTAGACACCGCTTCTCAAGTGAAGAACATTCCGTGAATGTCTTTTATCTCTAACGTCTACTTCTGATTTTTAAATGAAGCATGTGAATGCGTGTAGAATAGGTTATCTACAAAGAATAGAGTAAATTGTGCATCCAGCAGATATATCTTATCTTTTATCACTTTTTTTAAAGTTAAGCATTTAATGTCATTTAATGTTTTCTCATACAACAAAATTCTTTTCATTTTCTACTGTTGAGGTAGCATTTAAAAATTAAGCTTTTCTTCTAAAGATACCAAGCGTTGAGTAAAAACTTCATCGTTGGACAAAGTAACAGTTTTAGCTCATGATATCATCTACACTGATGTAAACGTTTTTTGTAATTTTTCCTTTTTAGAGCAATAGCGCTTATCATGTTTTGTTTTCTTTTACGTTTTAGGATTAAGCTTTTAGAGTGTTTTTTTGAAGACACTATCTTGACATTTCTTCGTTTTCCCTAGAGTTCAACCTAATACCCCTTGGGTATAGTAAGCTTACACGTTTAGCATAACTCTCTTAGACACTTTGACTTATCAGTCATTTAGCATTATGTTTGAGTGTTTTGAATTAGGTGTTTTTTGTTTTCTACAATCTTAAGAGTTTTTCTAAGATTTTTCTATGTTGAGGATTTTTTAGCATGTGCCTTATGTTTCATACTATGGTACTTTCATATTCTTCTTTTGTTTAATGTTATTTGATTAAACTTCAAAACATAATTTTAGACGTATAGACGATTTTTTTTAACACTAGTCTATGTGACTTAGATAATCATTAAAGTAAGAGGATCTCTATTACCACATAGGTTTTAATACTTAATACAAAACAGAAATAATAATTCACATATTTTTCCATATATGTTATCAGAGTTTTACATAAATCTCATGAATCTCAATAAGTATTGTTATACAATAAATCTCATTTAACTAAAACCATAAATCAATCATATATTTAGAAATTAATATTCAATTTGAATTTATAAAAATATTCACATTCAATGAGTTTAATAAACCAAAAGAAGAAGAAAAAAATTACAAAAAAAATATTTTTTTTAACATAAGCGAAAATATGCTCACTTAAGAAAAAATTGAGTACAAACTAGATTAGGTTGTAATATCATTTTCTCGTCAACAAAAAATCATTTTCTTGAGCGAAAATATGGTTGAGAACAATGTTATTTTCAACTCTATTTTTGCATGAGCAAAACTATTTTTACTTGTGCGAAAATGGGACTTAGGGCAAGGTTTGGATGCTTGTTCTACTTTTGTTTAAGCAAAAATGTTAGAGAATTCAACCTCAGTAACAACATAAATTGATTCCAAAGAGTATTTTCAAAAGCATTTTAAATCACGCAATTTCTAAGCAATTCGAACATACAATCCAAATCATGATTTACTCAAAAATCATCATTTACTTATTCCTTTAACTCAAAGTATGCTTGTTTATATATACTTATATCAAATTCATAACTATTCATAAGAAAGGTGTTAAGACAAGATTGTCTAAGACCTTGGATTTTGAAGTTTAACAAAAGTGTCTAACGAAATAGTAATGCATTAAACGATATCTATGTCTAGACAATATCCTAAATGCAAACAACATAGACTACTCTAAACGACTTGATAAACAGACCAACATAAACACTATAGTACGTAGACCATGTCAAAGATATAATAAACGTCTAACCTTTTAAATCCAAATGTACGAATTGTCGTACTATTTCTCTTTATTAAGACAAGATCGTCTAGAGAATAGACCGTTTAAGTAAATTAAGTTTTGAAGTTTAACAAAAGCATCAAACGAAATATTGATGTGCACGAAAAACTATTTTAAAGCAATAACATCTAAAGAGGAAAATATTTTTGCAACATTTGTTTTAAATGAAATCAAGCTTATGAACAATGTTTTCTAGAAAGAACTGTATAATGAACTTCTTTTATGAACCACGTCAAAAAAAGAAAGTGTCTCTCTTTTAGATCATTTAGTAAATGATATGAGTAACAAGCTAGTGTCTTATGAAAAATATCTCTTTTATAACACTAAAGCTAAAAGAAAGTTTATCCAATATAGTGCTCAAGAAAAACATCTAATGAATTATATCGTCTAATGTATTACCGCTAAATGCTACAACCATTGATAAAAGCATCTAAATTTTTTGTTATACCATATGATGATTACATATGTAGCATGCTTTACTAAATGATGCATTTATTAAAGACAGACAAATGATAACATGTTTTGAACATGTAATACAACCTAAAGCTTATCAACATTCAAAATATTAAATGCGTGTATGACAAAGAGTTTCAATGCTTATATACTTTTTCTTGATATTTCTGTAGATCACTATAGCAAAAATATATGATTAAAATCACTGAACCCAAGAAAACGACGTCGTGAGAGATGAAGAACATTATAGGAATGTTTCCCTTAAAGACTTATGTGATGTCATATCATATAAGCTCGATTTCGCTAAAGGCTATGATAAAGCTCTAAACATCTATAAAATAGACTAAAGCTTGGCTTCTCACCTAAAGACTACATGTTCTCTTAAAGTCAACTTCTTTGTCTAAAAGTCATCTTTCAAGAAAATCTATATATAGACGAAAACTTGAAGAGAAGACAAGAAGGATAATATAAGAAGAATAAGATAGTAAACTCGTGAACGCAAAAGTTTATTGTGCTCATATATTGTTTAAAGTTAAAAATTTTCTTTAAAAGAAAAACCGTAGCAAATTACAAAATTCTTTGTATTGTTTATATCCTTTCTTTGAGAGTTATCATTTGTACCTTTGCTCATAACACTTTTTGTGTTGTAGAT